ACCCACTTGAATCAAAGTGTGGAATATGATATGTCAAGAAATTTGTAATGTTTTGTACAACCCACAATAAAAAATTAAAAATATATTAAAAAAAAAGAAAACAAGCATGTTATTTTTTAACATGACAAGAAAAACAATAGAAGGGGGAGCTCTGCAAATTGAAAAAGAGCTGGAGTGAACAAGACCTCCTCCTAAAAGTTCAGGAAAAATTAATTTCATGCAATAACAAGAAAAGAAATGTGCAGAGGTCAAATCCTACACAAAGTTATTGTCACAATAAATGAGAAATAAGGGTCAGAACAACATACCTTCAAAAGAGCATGCTGGGAAGACATACTCATGGATCAGATCAAAACTGTAACCTTGTAAAATCTAAAAGACGTTGTGGAAATCATGCAGATGTAAAGAACATCAATCAGAATTAGGGAAAAAACTCAGAAATGAAGTAGTTGCATTCAGGAAAAAATTAGATACCAAAGGGGAAATAAATCTCAAAACTGAATATTAAACTTGAAGGAGACAAAAGCAATAAACAAAACAGATGACATTTTAAGAGACATAGGAAGAGAAAACTTTTTTATTTTTAATTAAAAAAGAAATGAAGAAAGATAAAAGGATTTGTGACCAACTTACAATTTTGAAGATACTCAAAGGAAATTTAACATAGCCATTGTGGAAATCTCTTAAAGAAAAAATTAAAGAAAGGGAACAGAATCAATACTAAAAATAATAATTCACGACAACAGTCCTGAATTTAGAGACTTGAGATGACACATTGAAAGAGTAAATGACATACTTAAGAATATTCATCCAGGGCTGGGGTTGTGGCTCCGCGGTGGAGTGCTCATTTAGCATGTTTGAGGTCCTGGGTTCGATCCTCAGCACCACATAAAAATAAATAAAATAAAGGTATTGTGTCCAACTACAACTAAAAAATAAATATTAAAAAAAGAATACTCATCCAGAATGATCAACACAATGATATGTCTAGTACAATTAACTAACTTTAAAGAAGAGGTATCTAGATATGCTCAGGTAAGGGGAAGAAAGATAATTATCAACTTGTCAACAATAATAGTTTAGAGTAGAAGAAAATGGAGTAACATATTTAAGATATTCAAAGGGAAAAGGGGGAGCCAATGGTTTCATATACAGCAAAGTTGCCCTTCAAGTATAAAGACCATGGACAAGTTGTTATCAACATGAAAGAACTCAGGGATTTTTGTTCCACTAGAAAATAAGGTTCATACATCAAAATATCTTAAGAAACATCTATCCAAGGACTAGTGGTGAGCATTAAACATACATGTAGACCTATAGAACCAAGACCAAAAGGAAGGCTAAAAGAGAAAAACAGTACATTAATGACTATATGCTTAGACAATGCAGGTAGACTATAGATTTTAATAAGAATAGAGAGAAAAGGGAAGAGCATATGCAAAAATGTTTAACTCTTCTCAGTAATTTGGTGGTGACGATATCTGTATTGTTATGTTTAGGTTATTATACAGGTAATATGAGACACGTAAATGAGCAATTATGAAATATCAGACACTTTAATTCTATTTTGTGTGTGTGTGTGTTCTTGAGATCCAGAACCCTTGGTATAAAAGAAATGGGATAAAGAGTTAATATAGAAAAACTTCAATTTAAAATAAAAACTATAGCTCTGAATTTGAATGAGAAATATCATATGAACCCTTGAGTTATTTTATTAAGAGGTGTGTGTGTGTGTGTGTGTGTGTGTGTGTGTGAGAGAGAGAGAGAGAGAGAGAGAGAGAGAGAGAGAGAGAGAGAGAGACATGGACAGACAGAAAGTGACCAACCCAGTAACAATGAGCATCTCTAGCAACTCAGATACTTAGACTGTGGTCTTGAAATGCTTTCCACTTGAAAAATTAAAGAAGCATTTTGGAGAAACAGATTTCACGAATAAGTCTGGAATATCTTTTTATACCAAGTGATGAGGAAGCTAACAAAGACAATAAAGATCATGTTGAGATGCACAAAAATCACTTTGAAGAGGCTCCCAAAGGCTGAAGATGAGACTGTCTGAGCTTCAAAAACAGGATAATAATTGCAATTTATTGGAACTCATCAAATATAAGTATATTAATTCATAATAACTTTCTAATCCAATTGGTAATTTTTGGAGGAAAAGAGAGAACCAATTAATTGTCTTAAGATTTGATAAATAACTGAAAAGAATCAAGCATGGTTCTTATCTATCTTATAGAAATTGGGTGCTTCTAGGTATCCAAAGAGTAAATGATAGAAATCCTCTCTTTGAAGCCAGTGCAGCCGAACACACCTATAATCCCAGCAATTTGGGCGGCTGAGTCAGGAGGATCACAAGTTTGAGGCCAACCTGAGCAACTGAGTTCCTGTTTCAAAAATAAAAATAGAAAAGATTGGTAATGTAGCTCAGTGGTAAAGCACCCCTGGGATCAATCCCTAGTGCTACAAAACAAGAAATCATCTCTTTGCAAAATATTCTAACTAATAAACAAAGAAGAAATTATAGTATTAGAAAGCCACCATTTTGCAGCCCCCAGGAATTACTCCAGATAGGTAATGAGCATGAACATTTGCTCACATCACACAAAGCAGGCATAGTGTGCTTTTCTGTGAAAGAACACACCACCTACAGTCTGCTGAAGGGATGGAACTGAGTCTGATAAAATCTCCACAGCTAGTTGCTGCTTTACAAAAGTATGGTAAACACGGGAGCATATTGAATTATGCCACAAGGACATGATTGTTAAAATCAGGACTGTGGGGAAATGCACAGATCAAATGCCCTGGGGTTTCCAACAGCTAAGTTATAAAAAGAGGGAAGAGAGGAGACCTATAGTCTAAAAGAAACTTAAAAGATATTTATTAAGGCAAGACTAGCTATAGCATTCTAAGGAGGCACCCAATGAAAGGTGCGCTGTTAGACACTCTCTCTCTCTCTCTCTCTCTCTCTCTCTCTCTCTCTCTCTCTCTCACACACACACACACACACACACACACACACACACACTTGAGAGAGGTTACTTTTGAGAAATGGAGGAGCTAAGACTGAGGCACATGAAGGGGCATCTAGAGTAGCTGTGAAAGTCCTGTTTCTTAAAGTGGAGCTTTTATAGGACATTCATCTTATAAAATAATAATAATATAAAAACTGTACATTTTTGTGACTTCTTTAAGTCTGTGTTTTATTTTACAGGTTCTTAAGATCCTTTTGCAAAATGAAGAACATGTAAAGCAACTCAATTTAGCCTCATGCATTCTCTTTTCTTGGTAAATCCATATTTAATCGGATAGTTTGTTTAGACTATGTTCTAGGATTGTGTTTTCATAAACCATTACAACATCAGCAATCTACAAATGTTGATTGAGCACCTATTGTGTGCAAATGCACTTCTGTTATTGGCTCATACTTTCTGATACCTTCTCCCTTTCATAGTTGACAAGGTACAGCAGAAGTTTCCACTGTGGGGTGGAATTTTGCTGTAGTTGACATTTTATTTGTGTGATATTTAATTGTATGAATTTACTGAAGTACTGTGTGTGGGAAGAGGAAAGGCCCAAAAGACACAGCCACCCAGCACAAAATTAAGTGGCCTCTTGCCTTATTTTAGCCACAGTTGGCACAGAGGCCACAGTCCAGCAGTCCAGGTGCTGCTTCTGTGAACGGTGGCAATGGGACTCAGCTTGTTTTGGGGAGCTCAGGGAGTCACTATTATGGGACTGCACTTTTATGACTCATTGTCCTAGCTTCACCACCATACCACACGTCTAGATAACTAGTTCCTAGAAATGAGTTTCAGAGAGGTTGAAAGGGGTAAGAAATTCCTAGCAAAACGAAAGTGTGTTTGAGAACACCCTTTGACCCACTGGAGACCACAAACATCAGGAAGTAGCTTCCTCCTTTTCACCTAATATACCCATTTTCTAAATCTAAAACTTAGCAAGCACATCAGTTTTTGAACTTTATCTGCAAAAGTTGCAAAATTACAAAATTCCTTTATGACCAAAAAAGCTTTTATTCCAATCAAGAGTTATAATGATTGAGTAATTGATTGATAAACAGATACTGGTGGCAGAAACTGTTTTAAGCACATTAAATGTATTCATTTGTGTGCATTCACCACACTCCAAACAAAGTGGTCCCTGTTTTGTAGACACTGGAGCAGAGAAGCAGAGAAGTCAAATAATTTGCCTAATGTCACATAGCTAGCAAATAACACTGCTAGGATTCAAGCCATGCCATCTGAATCCAGAGCCTGTGTTATTAGCCTCAGGTTACTACACTACCCAAGTTCTTAACATCTAGGCAAGCCTTAGAAATGCCGGAGTAGAGAGGACAACAATCTAGTAGTCTACCCGGCTTGTCCAAATTGTGTTTTAGATAGCTCCCTTTGGCAGAAACACGATCAGTCAATGATCAAGTAGCATCTACTCTATCTCCTTAATAGTTCTTAAAGCTATGAGCTTCTCTCCATCCCCACGGCCACTGTTGTCATTCAAGCTACCATCATTTCTTGGCGAGATTTTTACAGACACCTCCTGACTTTCCTGCCTCTAGCCCTAATCAAAAGTGAGGATGAGAGGCCAAAACAAAGACAAAAAAGGTGCCAAACTAGACATAGAATGTATATATAGCAATACCAACAACTTCTAGGAGTAGCAGCAGGAGAGACAGAGTTAAACAATTGCAAACCAGGCCTTTAAAAACATACAGAAAGACAAAAGCAGCACCAATATGAAAATATTAAATAAAAACGTGTACTTTCATAAAGTACAGGTTGCCTGGATCTGCCCTCAAGAGACTGTGAGCCACAGGAGCAGCTATAGACAATGCTTGTCTGCTCTCCCTTCTACCTACTCCAGCCTCCCTGGGGCTTGGGTCCCCTGGTAAGAGAAGCTTGGCTGGCTCCCATCACCCTCTCTCCTGTGCTGGCCTTGCTGAGATGTGCCCTGGGCAGGCATTGGGCAGGAAGGAGATTCCTCACATGATTCAGCATAATCCTCCCTTTCTCCCTTCCTAAAGCTGCATACTGCAGAAAGCGCGCTGCAGAAATGCAGACAAAAGGGGGCTCGACATGGGCAAGAAGGGCCCTGCTGCTCGGCATCATCTGGGCCACTGCACACCAGCCTCTCCCAGGGGCCTCCCTGCCCCAGCGTCTCCCAAGAGCCACAGGTAGGTGGACACTGGGGTCAGCTACCCCTGCTGCTTCTGCTACCACACTACATGAAGGGATAGGGAGGAAAATGCTTTCTTGATTCACTTTTGCTTATGCTTCCTGCTATATTTGCTCTGATTTTTAGTATTTAGAGGGATATCAAATATTCTGATACCTCCAATAAGTTCTCAAAGATAGCCCCGAAGTAATTCACAGAGATCAAAAAGTGAGCAAGCCTCTAGTTTTTATTGTTGGAGACTTCATCATGAAAAACACAAAAACATAAAGCTTTCATCCCCAAAACACTCTCGGCAACAGTGGAGGAGTCTTTGGAGGCCTGGGGACAATGGGGGCTCTGAAATAAGAAAATGAAATTGTACACTTATTAGAAATATTTATTCATCAGAAGCATGGTTTCTACTTGAGGAGGGAGAGAGGTTCAGTTTTCCCTTTTAGAAAGAGACATGAAGGAGTGATTTAATAATTTCCACTTTTTAATTCTTCCACCATCATCAGTTTATTTCTTCAAAGAATTTCTTTCCAATCCAAAGACTGATGTTCTAAGGATGCACAGCTACAACATATTCAGAGATGTTTTATGCATTTTTCACTGGATTCTTAAAAATTCCACCCAGATATTCCAGTTTTCTTAAGGAAATGCTCTTGGTAGACTTGAGATGTGTGACTCCAACATTCTTCAAATTTTCACCTCCTTATCCTCCTCAGGAAATAGCACTCAATGTGTTGTTTCTCCATCGTCCGAGTTTCCCGAAGCGTTTTTCACCAAACAGGAACGTGCAGATGGAGGTATCATAATCTACTTCCTGATTATCCTTTACATGTTCATGGCCGTGTCCATCGTCTGTGATGAGTACTTTCTGCCCTCCCTGGAAATCATCAGTGAATGTAAGTGGCCAGAAAACTCCCTTATGACCTTCCAGAAAAGTTGCGTCTCACAGACATGGCTATAGTTCTGTCAGTCTCAAATGGTTGCAGAGCACTGACTTCTGTGTCACAGGGTTCTGCTTTCTAAGGAACTAGCCAAATGTGGTTTCTATCAGTAGTTACATGCAGCAGAGAAGCAGAGTTAATACCCAGCAGTTATTATTACACAGCCTATCTACAAAAACTTCCTGTTTATCTAATACACTGCCTGGCTGGCTGTTATAACAAAGCCTGTTCCAGGCTTTCACATCTATGAACTTAGTGTGTACTACAAATAAATGGACCTCCTAATATTTACTATTTTATACTTAAGAAAACTTTTTTCATTTTTACTCTAAGGCCATTATAACTTCTTAAAAGATAAACAAAGTAAGCCGGGTGTGGTGGCACACGCCTGTAATCCCAGCAGCTTGAGAGGTGGATCACAAGTTCAAAGCCAGCCTCAGCAATTGAGCGAGGTGCTAAGCAACTCAGTGACACCCTGTTTCTAATAAATACAAAATAGGACTGGGGATGTGGTTCAGTGCTCGAGTGCCCCTGAGTTCATTTCCTGGTACCAAAAAGAAGTAATTACGGACTACCTTCCCCCTCTTCCTTTCCCAGCATACTGCCATTAATAAAATGAACTGTTATTTAAGAACCAATAAACAAATCCTGCCTCCTATGTTACCTGACCTCAGGCATCAAATAATGTAAATTCAGTTATTAGAAAGTAGATTTCATGGGGCTGGGGTTGTGGCTTAGTGGTAGAGCGCTCGCTTAACACATGCGAGGCCCTGGTTCGATCCTCAGCACCACATAAAAATAAACAAAATAAAGGTACTGTGTACAACTAAAAAATAATTTTTTAAAAAAAGTAGATTTCATTATTGGCTTCTGAAAATAAGATCAGCTAGTCCAAGCCCCTGAGTTCAATTCCTCCAGCAATGTACATTGTCCAGAATTCTGAGTATAGATATTCATTAGGTACTAGTATCTAAAATCAGGATATCAGTGATGTTTCAAACCATATATAAAATTACCAGCATTTCCCATCTGTCTACTGTTTTGTTAGTTTAATATGTTGGGCATGTTTACGTCATAGAAAAGGGATGAGTTTCCTATTCCAAATTCACAGGAGTGCACAAAAATAACATCATCATCACAAACACATCATCAAACACAAACACAAACACACACACACACACACACACACGGACGCATGTGCATCTGCTCATCCTGCTACATACCATTTCTTTATACAGGGAAAGAGTGTAAAATGGTACTACAGTTTACACTGACATCTCTATTTGTTTTTACTTATATAAATGCAAGAGAAATAGAAATAAAAGGTAAAATCACCTATATTTCCATTACCCCAAAATCTTCACAATTACTGTTTGGTGTAAAGTATTTCCTTCCAATCTTTTCAATCTTTCTATACACACACACACACACACACACACACACACAGAGAGAGAGAGTTTGGGGTCTTTTCTTCACATGATATTTCAAAAACATGATTTTCAATGGTAGCATTACAGTCCATGATTTCTATGAATGATGTGAGCACCAAACGTGGTTTTTACTTATTGTAGACACCCAGTAGAAATTTATCATTGTAAAACTATTAATCTCTTTGGAGACTTTGATTTGTTATAAATTTCCTTTTATTTTAAACAATGTTATGCCTATACTTGTATAAATTCTCTGAATTCTCTAATCATTTTCTGATTAGGAGGCAGAGCTCTACATATTTTAAGATTTCTGATCTATATTGTCAAAATGTATTCCACAAAGGGTGTGCCTATTTAAGCCTTCATAATGCATAACATTCCAGAAAACAATGAATATCATTTTTAATATCTTTGTCAATTAAGCTAAAATTTTACCTTATAAAATTTATATTTATTTGTGAGGTGAATATTTTATATATTTACTGACATTCATGATCTTGCTTTTGTGGGGGTTTTGCCCATGTTCTATTAGAGAAGAGTATTTGTTTTTTTCTTATTGATATTTCAAGAAAATATATATATGCATATATATATATATATATATATATATATATATATATTATACACATATATAAATTTTTTCTAATACAATTTTACATCAGATGATTTTTTTCATGGTTTGTTGTTTCCTTTTATATTTTGTGTGTTTTATAAATATTTTAAATTTGTATATCTTTTATGATTCTTTTTTGGTTTTATACTTAGATCATTTTAATCCTAGTTTCCAAAAATTGTCATATTTTCTTTTTCTTATAGTTTTTTCCTACATTTATTTCTTCCACTAAAAACTTCTCTTGCTATAGAATATAAGTGTGAGTGTATGTATGTGTGTGCTGAGTATGCATATACTTTTTCTATAATCCCAACTCATTTCTAATAACTTATTTGTTTATTCTTGTATCAGTACAACACATTAGATATTTTTTAAAGTAAAAATTTAAAATGTTAATCATACACGACTCAGGAATTTAAATTTCAATGTATTATATGAATTCTAAACAATGACTACACTCAACAATGACAGAACTGAATGAACAAATCCATTAAGAATTTTATTTATAAAAATTGTTTTAGGAATAGTAAAATTGAAAAAAAAACTTTTCTAATCCTGCAGAAGAAACTACTACACTGAAACATAGTTATGTCTTCAAATAATCTTCATTAAATTATTTGTCTATAAATGATTTTCACCATACCACATGTGAATTACTATGAAGCACAAATAGCAAATATGCATTTCTCAAGCAAATCACTGCATAAAATATAGTAGCTATTATGAATGTGTGATTGATGGATACCCATGCCACTTCCAAATCTTCTTTAGCCAATAAGAATTGACCCTGGCTTTTGAATACCTAAAATTCTAGCAATAAAATGAAATAGAAATAGTGCTAGCTCAATTAATTTTTAAATGCCTATACATTAATTCTGTCATTTCTCTTTTCAAGGTCTAGCATGGCCTCATTAAAATTATGACATCAGCAATAACAAACATTACTTCTACAATTTGTTTACATCCATAGAAACTCACTTCAGAAGTCTACAAATGTGTCGCATTTCCCCATAGTTCCTTGACGAGCATTGAGTCATAATAGTTTCATCCATTTTGTCACCTAATAATTATTAATCTTCAATACAGTTTACTGAAGAGTTCCCCAATTTACTGGAGTGTTATTAGTCTTTTATTTATTATGATACAATTACAGAAGACCTAACATGTTGTGTACGCATATATATGTGAACAGATTATGTTTTCCTTCAGCCTTCACAAAAATCTTACAAAATAAGAACTAGTATATTGATTTTACTAATGAGATAAGCAAGGCTAAGAGGATGGGTAATTTCTCAAGACACACAGCCAATATGCAGCAGAGCCCTCATCTCTCTAGTGTCAAAACTCAAGCATGAGGGGCTGGAGATGTGGCTCAAGCGGTAGCGCGCTCGCCTGGCATGCGTGTGGCCCGGGTTCGATCCTCAGCACCATATACAAACAAAGATGTTGTGTCCGCGGAGAACTAAAAAATAAATATTAAAAAAAAAAAAAAAAAAACTCAAGCATGAGCTCAACTGCTATGTGATATAATTTTACACATCCTTGTTTGAGATTAGCCTCTGTAAAATAGTTGTTTCAGAAGTCCTGTTCTATTTGAACAACCTTTCAAGGGGTTTTCTTCCCAAGGGCACTGATAGTTTTGACAAAAACATATATCAAATAAACATTGTAACTACAGAGGAAGTACATTACAAAATAAAGAGAATACACTGAATTATTTACAGGAATCAGTTTAGACTTTTGGCAACTTGAACAGGGTTGTAAATTAGGTTCCTAGGCCTAAATATTTTGCCCAAAATGCACATGAGATCTTAGTATAGTACAGTACTGTGTAACCTAATCATTATATATGATGCGATAATTTCCTGTGGGAGTACATATTCTCAGTTTCAATCAATAATAAAATGGAAGAATTAACAGGCCCCCATCCCACTCAGCCTTATCACCACCTCATTACTCTCTCCTCAACCACCACAATGGCTCATTTTGTCAGCAGTTAATTAGGATCTTTCAGCAAGGCCAGACTAGAAGAGGATCAGCACTGGAATTTCCATGAGCTGAAAACAGTAGAGGGCAGAAGTTCTTACTGACACCCTAGCAGGGCCCCAGCTTAGCCACACAAGTGCTCTATCCTTCTTCACTGCTAAATAGTTGTCTGTCAATATCTCTTTGCACTGCTGCCACAGGGGCTTCCAGCAAGAATTTTTTCCTTCTCCTTATTCTATTAATAATCAAAAAAGTCACAGCACCTCTCCTTCACACTCCAACCCTGGTATAGCAGGCACACATCTCCGCTAGGCAGACTATTTTCCATCATCTTAATTGTGTGAAACCATTATAACAAAATGCTATTGTCTACAATACCCTTTTCTTCCAATTCTGTTTTCTGTTGCTGCTTTTTTTTTTTTTTTCATTTAGGTTCTGTACAAAAGAAAGCTAATGGTGATTCTTTGAACGCAGACGGCAAAAGTGAAATTAATCCATATTATATAGGGAAAAATATATCACACTAGAGTTGTTCACAGCATTTTAACTTTGGAGAAAAGACTAATAACTTCTGTGGTTAGACATAAGATTTGGTGAAAGGAGGTAAAAGATACAATCAGAGAGGAACCTTATAGAAGACCAAGTTAGAGCCAAGGGAGATAGAGGTAGGCAATGGAGTAAGGAAAAACCCTAAGGGGATCGCCCTCATTCCTACCAATTGTGCTCCTCTAGGCCCTTAGTCAGTGAATACTGTAAGGAACCAAATAGCCAGAGAGTACGCTAAGGATTCCAAATAACAAGGATGAAAAGGTTATTCACATGAGCCTGACTTCTGAAAACTTAGTGTCTAAGATTCTCATACTTGGTTTGTGAAGGTGGTCATATTGTCTTGTAGTCAGTCATATGTTGTACTGATGGCTTGGCAT